TTCATTATGACAAAAAATCGAGACTTGGCATTAGAAGAGCACTTCCCACAATAACGCGTAAAAAAGAAAAGAAAAGAAAAAAAATAGAATAGGTTTCTAGTTCAACCAAGAATATTTAGATTGGTGCAACTACTCCATCTTTCTGATAATCCTAGTTGGCAACTTCTGAGGTATGCCCCACGTCATCAAATATTTGATATTTGCTTTATTTCTATAATTTTTGGTTTCTATTTTTTCAATATTATTTTACCATTTTCATTAGTAAACCATTTTCAAAGAAAATATATTGAAAAAAACACTAATCATAAAATATCATACAAATTTTGTATGACCACCACGTTTAGCCAATGAGAGTGCACCGTGTGATATCAGATGTAGCTAGATACATAGTTATTTGCATAATTTACTCGATATTCTTATGTAGGCTAAGTGAAAGTGGGGCTACCTGTTCATAGGTTCCTTTAGTACAACAGTCAAGTTTGATTTACTAGAATAAACTTTAGAAGGATATGTTTTTCCTTTTCAAATTACATGAGATATCTTGCAATTCCCCATGAATATCATAATATAAACTTTACATGTTCTCTTGATAAGCTGTACTTGATATATAAATACAGGTGAGCACAATTCCCGGTTACCTCATATCACAGTCAACATGGTGTGTGTGTGTGTGTTTAGGGCTTTGATTTTCTTCCATGATGCTGCAACATCATGTGTGTTTGTGTGTGTGAACACGCACACATACACATGTATGGTTCACTGGTTATGGATAATGAATATACTGTATATACCATTTTCATTAGTGAACCATTTTCAAAGAAAATACATTGAAAAACACTAATAAAATATCATTCAAATTGTTAGGGCCAAGAAAGGGGGCGGAGCTAGTGACATCACCAGTTTAGCCAATGAGAGTGCACCGTGTGATATCAGATGTAGCTAGATAAATACTTATTTGTATAATTTACTCGATATTCTTATACAGGCTAAATGAAAGTGGGTCTACCTATTCTTATGTTCCTTAAGTTCAACAGTGAAGTTAGATTTTCTAGAATAAACATTAAAAAGATATGTTACCCCTTGCAAATTGCATATCTTGCAATTTTCCACAAATATAAAATTTTACATGCTCTATTGATAAGCTGTACTTGGTATATAAATGTAGGTGTGCACATTTCACAGTTACCTCATAATCACACCCGTCAATGTAAGGTTTCCACACACATAGTGTTTGTATGTGTGTGTTTAGGGCTTCAATTCATCTCCATGATGCTGGAACGCATTTAATCTGTATCATAATAATCTGCTGCCTTCTCCTCACTCATCTGGTGCTGGAATAAAAGGCCATTTTGCAAAATGTTACTAACTGGCATTGACATGGAGCATTTATTTGGCATACATGTAAATGCCCTCACATATAAGTATAATGAGTTGTGAATATTGATTTGTGTATCAGTGTCAAAAATTATGTGTTATATAAGAGCATTGTAACTAGACAGGGGAGACTCAACTCTAAAGTGATATTTGATGTTATATAGTGAACAGAAAATGCTTACAGATAATGACATAGCCATGGCCAGCTGTAGTTCTTCTTCCTCCTCCAACCAGAAGCATGTTTTTCTCTCTCCTTCAGCCTCCTCCTTCTCAAGGCGGAGCTTTTTCCCATCAAGACCTTCAAGTTCCTCATGGCAGTAAGCTTCCTCCTTCCCCGGACGCCCCTCTGCCTCCTCCTGCCAGCCGCCCTCCGCTCCGGGGACGTCGCCGGCCCCAGCGGGCTCTCGCGCGAGTAAGGCGGCGACCTGACGCCTGTACTCCTTGTTCTCGGCCTCCTGTGCGGACATGTGGAGGGCGAGGGAGAGCAGGTCGTCGTCGTCCATGCGGAGACCCTTCTTGAGGTCGTCTTCGTCGTCTTCGTCGTCCCTGATCTCCTGGGAAGGACCTCTTTCCATTAGCCAGGTTAATTTCACATGCACTACCAACCCACGCACATAGCACACACACGAACACATACACACACGCGCACACACACACATACACGCACACACGCACAAACACACAATACATACACGCACAAACCATACATTAAAAAAAGAAGAAAAATCACGTACCGCTTCGAGCAGGTCGAGCAGCGCGAAGTTGGGCTTCAGCGTCCAGAACTGGTCGCGGTCCTGCCGGCAAGAAGGGCACCGGAACACACTCTTGCGGTTCTCCGTCCCTTGAAGGAAAGATTTTTTATTGACTCCAGCAATTTATCTTTTCCTTCATGGGTTCATTTATTCATTGATTAAAAAAAAATCTATCTATTCATTCTATTTATTCATCTATATCTATTTATTTACTATTTACTATTTCTTAGATATCTTAATTTATTCTATCTACGTATTTATCTATTTATCTATTTACTCATCAATCCATTTAATCATTCATTTAATCATTATTCACACACATACATAATGTATATAGTATACCCTGTTACTTACTCGTTGTATATTTCTCTGAAATTAACATAATTATTGCAAAAATAAAGCGGGAAAAAAAACGAGGCACCAAGACATTGGAAACAAAGCCATAACACTCACCCCCCCAAAAAAAAAAGGAACACACCAATACAGAGACCACACTTCAAGACAAACAGATTTCACAGAAAGACAAACAACAGAAACCTTACTAAGGCATTCCTCGCAGAAGGTGTGGCCGCAGCTGGAGAAGATAAGCGGACGACGATCGTGCGCGTTGTAGGTCGACCTGCAGACTGCACAGGTTATCCCTGAGGGAGCCTGCAAAACACGGTGTCCTGTATATTAGTCCACAGTTTCTGCCTAACCCCATTTCGCTCTATTGACTTTCTCTTTCTATGCTTCACATACTTCATGTAAATAATATACATATACATACATGTAAATATATGTGTATACAGCTGTCTACACACACACACACACACACACACACACACACACACACACACACACATATATATATATATATATATATATATATATATATATATATATATATATATATATATAGATACTCACAGAAAGTGGTTGTGAACGATGTCATTGTCGGTATCCTTTCGACGACCTGATAACTTGCTGCGCAATAAGTTATGGCCCTGCAATACATCCCCACGAGCGGCTGGACCATCGATTATTATCAAGGGGGCGGGGGGGGGGAGGGTGCCCAAGAACGTGGCGTCACCAAGCAAACGTCGCACTGCCGGCTGGAATACATGACGCGGTTCGCCTATTAACGCGGTAGACTGGCTGGCGCCACAGGCAGGTCAATCTGCCAGGGGGAACTGCAGCGAAAGGAGTCTCCGCAAGACGAGGCCTCTGGGGGTGATCTTCGTGCGTTCCCAAAAGGTGGGAAGCTACGGACGTGCCCGACCTCGGCTCATCCTCAATGCGACCGCGCCGTATTAAGGATGAGCCCAAAGGGGCGAGGCCCTTGAGGCGGAGTCGACGTTCGTTGATGGCCCTTGCCTCTGTCGGGTGGAGCTCGCATGCAGTTATCAGAGCGCCTTAAGTCGCCTCATATTTCGTCTGATTTTGTGCGTTTCAGGCGAGGGTCTTTTAATACATGCCGTGAACTGGCAGATCTCCATTAATAAAAGGACATTTATGCTGGCTAAAGACGAGAGAGTGGTTGATGGCTTTCAGCCATTACTATACAAGGAGGGAGTGAAGATGGACATGTGAGCTTGTGAAAAGCATTTCCCATATGGCTCGATGGAGGACAAGGTCAACATGGTCTTAAAAGTCTCTTATATAGGATTATTATGCCAATGATGAAGGCGCTTCGGATTGGAGGTGAGGCAGGCAGGCGACAGGCGGTTGGATTAGTAACTAACACTTTTTTGCTGTTTCGCGGTAAGAATCCGGGACATTATTATCTTTGAATGGTGGTCGTGAAGGGTTGTAAAACTTAATTGTCATTGGCATTACTGAATTTTTAAAGGATTTCGGTTTTCTACCGCTTTTATTTTAAAATATTTTTTAAAAATGAATAGCAAATTTGAAGATCACAAACTTTTAATAATAAAAGAAAAGAAACACATGCGTATATGCCTTCGATGGCTCAGGACGCAGTTATTGAAGTGGTCTTTGTCTTAATCTGTTCAGAAGCACTGAAAAATATTTTTTTGTTGTATCCTTCCTATTATGAGAAAATCAAAGGTGAAACGGTTTGATAAGCGTACTTTTCAAGTAGCTAATGCCGACGAAAAAGATTAAACGAGGTAGTTGCATATATTTCGTGTTTTTTTTCTCATTAGCCATCTACACTGATCTGATTTCCTATTTTCCAGTGAAAAAAAAAAAAAAACTTACACACAACGATTTGTCCATAGCTAACTAATTTGATACCTTTTTACTACAAATGCAAACTATATAGTATTCTGTAAATGTTTTTAAATCAACATTACCTGGTTTTCAGAGCTGTTCTCATAATGGCTGATCTGACGAAAAAAATTTTCCTGGAAAAAAGAAAAATGCTATTAACATGCATGTATTGTACATACAGTACCTGCTTGATTCTTTAATTGTTTTTGTTTTCTATATATACCGTATACCTATAAACCAGCACAAAGAAAAAGACAAGAGGAAGGAATTAGACGAACAAAACAAACACAAAAAGCCGCCTTGCCCTCGTGCACGCGCGCCTGAGTCCTGGCGGAGGCCTCCTTGACCCAAGACGTCGCGAATGCTCTCTCGCAGGTCTCGCGAAGTCCCTGACGGCAGGCTATCTAGCGCTGTCAGCAGTCTTATCAGCAGCTCGAGGGTTTTGTTCAATTTTTCTTGGCTCTGCAAAACAACGAAGGTATATATAGCGACTGAGATGAATTCGCAGCTA